GAATAAAATCTGAGCAGGATAAGGAAAATAGACACAGAAGGAGTAAAAAGAGTGCCTACAGGTGTAGAACAGAGCCAGGAAATCTTAGAAAACAAGCATGTTATTTTTTAACATGACAAGAAAAACAATAGAAGGGGGAGCTCTGCAAATTGAAAAAGAGCTGGAGTGAACAAGACCTCCTCCTAAAAGTTCAGGAAAAATTAATTTCATGCAATAACAAGAAAAGAAATGTGCAGAGGTCAAATCCTACACAAAGTTATTGTCACAATAAATGAGAAATAAGGGTCAGAACAACATACCTTCAAAAGAGCATGCTGGGAAGACATACTCATGGATCAGATCAAAACTGTAACCTTGTAAAATCTAAAAGACGTTGTGGAAATCATGCAGATGTAAAGAACATCAATCAGAATTAAGGAAAAAACTCAGAAATGAAGTAGTTGCATTCAGGAAAAAATTAGATACCAAAGGGGAAATAAATCTCAAAACTGAATATTAAACTAGAAGGAGACAAAAGCAATAAACAAAACAGATAACATTTTAAGAGACATAGGAAGAGAAAACTTTTTTATTTTTAATTAAAAAAGAAATGAAGAAAGATAAAAGGATTTGTGACCAACTTACAATTTTGAAGATACTCAAAGGAAATTTAACATAGCAATTGTGGAAATCTCTTAAAGAAAAAATTAAAGAAAGGGAACAGAATCAATACTAAAAATAATAATTCACGACAACAGTCCTGAATTTAGAGACTTGAGATGACACATTGAAAGAGTAAATGACATACTTAAGAATATTCATCCAGGGCTGGGGTTGTGGCTCCGCGGTGGAGTGCTCATTTAGCATGTTTGAGGTCCTGGGTTCGATCCTCAGCACCACATAAAAATAAATAAAATAAAGGTATTGTGTCCAACTACAAGTAAAAAATAAATATTAAAAAAAGAATACTCATCCAGAATGATCAACACAATGATATGTCTAGTACAATTAACTAACTTTAAAGAAGAGGTATCTAGATACGCTCAGGTAAGGGGAAGAAAGATAATTATCAACTTGTCAACAATAATAGTTTATAGTAGAAGAAAATGGAGTAACATATTTAAGATATTCAAAGGGAAAAGGGGGAGCCAATGGTTTCATATGCAGCAAAGTTGCCCTTCAAGTATAAAGACCATGGACAAGTTGTTATCAACATGAAAGAACTCAGGGATTTTTGTTCCACTAGAAAATAAGGTTCATACATCAAAATATCTTAAGAAACATCTATCCAAGGACTAGTGGTGAGCATTAAACATACATGTAGACCTATAGAACCAAGACCAAAAGGAAGGCTAAAAGAGAAAAACAGTACATTAATGACTATATGCTTAGACAATGCAGGTAGACTATAGATTTTAATAAGAATAGAGAGAAAAGGGAAGAGCATATGCAAAAATGTTTAACTCTTCTCAGTAATTTGGTGGTGACGATATCTGTATTGTTATGTTTAGGTTATTATACAGGTAATATGAGACACGTAAATGAGCAATTATGAAATATCAGACACTTTAATTCTATTTTGTGTGTGTGTGTGTTCTTGAGATCCAGAACCCTTGGTATAAAAGAAATGGGATAAAGAGTTAATATAGAAAAACTTCAATTTAAAATAAAAACTATAGCTCTGAATTTGAATGAGAAATATCATATGAACCCTTGAGTTATTTTATTAAGAGGTGTGTGTGTGTGTGTGTGTGTGTGAGAGAGAGAGAGAGAGAGAGAGACATGGACAGACAGAAAGTGACCAACCCAGTAACAATGAGCATCTCTAGCAACTCAGATACTTAGACTGTGGTCTTGAAATGCTTTCCACTTGAAAAATTAAAGAAGCATTTTGGAGAAACAGATTTCACGAATAAGTCTGGAATATCTTTTTATACCAAGTGATGAGGAAGCTAACAAAGACAATAAAGATCATGTTGAGATGCACAAAAATCACTTTGAAGAGGCTCCCAAAGGCTGAAGATGAGACTGTCTGAGCTTCAAAAACAGGATAATAATTGCAATTTATTGGAACTCATCAAATATAAGTATATTAATTCATAATAACTTTCTAATCCAATTGGTCATTTTTGGAGGAAAAGAGAGAACCAATTAATTGTCTTAAGATTTGATAAATAACTGAAAAGAATCAAGCATGGTTCTTATCTATCTTATAGAAATTGGGTGCTTCTAGGTATCCAAAGAGTAAATGATAGAAATCCTCTCTTTGAAGCCAGTGCAGCCGAACACACCTATAATCCCAGCAATTTGGGCGGCTGAGTCAGGAGGATCACAAGTTTGAGGCCAACCTGAGCAACTGAGTTCCTGTTTCAAAAATAAAAATAGAAAAGATTGGTAATGTAGCTCAGTGGTAAAGCACCCCTGGGATCAATCCCTAGTGCTACAAAAAAGAAATCATCTCTTTGCAAAATATTCTAACTAATAAACAAAGAAGAAATTATAGTATTAGAAAGCCACCATTTTGCAGCCCCCAGGAATTACTCCAGATAGGTAATGAGCATGAACATTTGCTCACATCACACAAAGCAGGCATAGTGTGCTTTTCTGTGAAAGAACACACCACCTACAGTCTGCTGAAGGGATGGAACTGAGTCTGATAAAAATCTCCACAGCTAGTTGCCGCTTTACAAAAGTATGGTAAACACGGGAGCATATTGAATTATGCCACAAGGACATGATTGTTAAAATCAGGACTGTGGGGAAATGCACAGATCAAATGCCCTGGGGTTTCCAACAGCTAAGTTATAAAAAGAGGGAAGAGAGGAGACCTATAGTCTAAAAGAAACTTAAAAGATATTTATTAAGGCAAGACTAGCTATAGCATTCTAAGGAGGCACCCAATGAAAGGTGCGCTGTTAGACTCTCTCTCTCTCTCTCTCTCTCTCTCTCTCTCTCTCTCTCTCTCTCTCACACACACACACACACACACACACACACACACACACACACTTGAGAGAGGTTACTTTTGAGAAATGGAGGAGCTAAGACTGAGGCACATGAAGGGGCATCTAGAGTAGCTGTGAAAGTCCTGTTTCTTAAAGTGGAGCTTTTATAGGACATTCATCTTATAAAATAATAATAATATAAAAACTGTACATTTTTGTGACTTCTTTAAGTCTGTGTTTTATTTTACAGGTTCTTAAGATCCTTTTGCAAAATGAAGAACATGTAAAGCAACTCAATTTAGCCTCATGCATTCTCTTTTCTTGGTAAATCCATATTTAATCGGATAGTTTGTTTAGACTATGTTCTAGGATTGTGTTTTCATAAACCATTACAACATCAGCAATCTACAAATGTTGATTGAGCACCTATTGTGTGCAAATGCACTTCTGTTATTGGCTCATACTTTCTGATACCTTCTCCCTTTCATAGTTGACAAGGTACAGCAGAAGTTTTCACTGTGGGGTGGAATTTTGCTGTAGTTGACATTTTATTTGTGTGATATTTAATTGTATGAATTTACTGAAGTACTGTGTGTGGGAAGAGGAGAGGCCCAAAAGACACAGCCACCCAGCACAAAATTAAGTGGCCTCTTGCCTTATTTTAGCCACAGTTGGCACAGAGGCCACAGTCCAGCAGTCCAGGTGCTGCTTCTGTGAACGGTGGCAATGGGACTCAGCTTGTTTTGGGGAGCTCAGGGAGTCACTATTATGGGACTGCACTTTTATGATTCATTGTCCTAGCTTCACCACCATACCACACATCTAGATAACTAGTTCCTAGAAATGAGTTTCAGAGAGGTTGAAAGGGGTAAGAAATTCCTAGCAAAACGAAAGTGTGTTTGAGAACACCCTTTGACCCACTGGAGACCACAAACATCAGGAAGTAGCTTCCTCCTTTTCACCTAATTTTCTAAATCTAAAACTTAGCAAGCACATCAGTTTTTTGAACTTTATCTGCAAAAGTTACAAAATTCCTTTATGACCAAAAAAGCTTTTATTCCAATCAAGAGTTATAATGATTGAGTAATTGATTGATAAACAGATACTGGTGGCAGAAACTGTTTTAAGCACATTAAATGTATTCATTTGTGTGCATTCACCACACTCCAAACAAAGTGGTCCCTGTTTTGCAGACACTGGAGCAGAGAAGCAGAGAAGTCAAATAATTTGCCTAATGTCACATAGCTAGCAAATAACACTGCTAGGATTCAAGCCATGCCATCTGAATCCAGAGCCTGTGTTATTAGCCTCAGGTTACTACACTACCCAAGTTCTTAACATCTAGGCAAGCCTTAGAAATGCCGGAGTAGAGAGGACAACAATCTAGTAGTCTACCCGGCTTGTCCAAATTGTGTTTTAGATAGCTCCCTTTGGCAGAAACACAATCAGTCAATGATCAAGTAGCATCTACTCTATCTCCTTAATAGTTCTTAAAGCTATGAGCTTCTCTCCATCCCCACGGCCACTGTTGTCATTCAAGCTACCATCATTTCTTGGCGAGATTTTTACAGACACCACCTGACTTTCCTGCCTCTAGCCCTAATCAAAAGTGAGGATGAGAGGCCAAAACAAAGACAAAAAAGGTGCCAAACTAGACATAGAATGTATATATAGCAATCCCAACAACTTCTAGGAGTAGCGGCAGGACAGAGAGAGTTAAGCAATTGCAAACCAGGCCTTTAAAAACGTACAGAAAGACAAAAGCAGCACCAATATGAAAATATTAAATAAAAACGTGTACTTTCATAAAGTACAGGCTGCCTGGATCTGCCCTCAAGAGACTGTGAGCCACAGGAGCAGCTATAGACAATGCTTGTCTGCTCTCCCTTCTACCTACTCCAGCCTCCCTGGGGCTTGGGTCCCCTGGTAAGAGAAGCTTGGCTGGCTCCCATCACCCTCTCTCCTGTGCTGGCCTTGCTGAGATGTGCCCTGGGCAGGCATTGGGCAGGAAGGAGATTCCTCACATGATTCAGCATAATCCTCCCTTTCTCCCTTCCTAAAGCTGCATACTGCAGAAAGCGCGCTGCAGAAATGCAGACAAAAGGGGGCTCGACATGGGCAAGAAGGGCCCTGCTGCTCGGCATCATCTGGGCCACTGCACACCAGCCTCTCCCAGGGGCCTCCCTGCCCCAGCGTCTCCCAAGAGCCACAGGTAGGTGGACACTGGGGTCAGCTACCCCTGCTGCTTCTGCTACCACACTACATGAAGGGATAGGGAGGAAAATGCTTTCTTGATTCACTTTTGCTTATGCTTCCTGCTATATTTGCTCTGATTTTTAGTATTTAGAGGGATATCAAATATTCTGATCCCTCCAATAAGTTCTCAAAGATAGCCCCGAAGTAATTCACAGAGATCAAAAAGTGAGCAAGCCTCTAGTTTTTATTGTTGGAGACTTCATCGTGAAAAACACAAAAACATAAAGCTTTCATCCCCAAAACACTCTCGGCAACAGTGGAGGAGTCTTTGGAGGCCTGGGGACAATGGGGGCTCTGAAATAAGAAAATGAAATTGTACACTTATTAGAAATATTTATTCATCAGAAGCATGGTTTCTACTTGAGGAGGGAGAGAGGTTCAGTTTTCCCTTTTAGAAAGAGACATGGAGGAGTGATTTAATAATTTCCACTTTTTAATTCTTCCACCATCATCAGTTTATTTCTTCAAAGAATTTCTTTCCAATCCAAAGACTGATTTTCTAAGGATGCACAGCTACAACATATTCAGAGATGTTTTATGCATTTTTCACTGGATTCTTAAAAATTCCAACCAGATATTCCAGTTTTCTTAAGGAAATGCTCTTGGTAGACTTGAGATGTGTGACTCCAACATTCTTCAAATTTTCACCTCCTTATCCTTCTCAGGAAATAGCACTCAATGTGTTGTTTCTCCATCGTCCGAGTTTCCCGAAGGGTTTTTCACCAAACAGGAACGTGCAGATGGAGGTATCATAATCTACTTCCTGATTATCCTTTACATGTTCATGGCCGTGTCCATCGTCTGTGATGAGTACTTTCTGCCCTCCCTGGAAATCATCAGTGAATGTAAGTGGCCAGAAAACTCCCTTATGACCTTCCAGAAAAGTTGCGTCTCACAGACATGGCTATGGTTCTGTCAGTCTCAAATGGTTGCAGAGCACTGACTTCTGTGTCACAGGGTTCTGCTTTCTAAGGAACTAGCCAAATGTGGTTTCTATCAGTAGTTACATGCAGCAGAGAAGCAGAGTTAATACCCAGCAGTTATTATTACACAGCCTATCTACAAAAACTTCCTGTTTATCTAATACACTGCCTGGCTGGCTGTTATAACAAAGCCTGTTCCAGGCTTTCACATCTATGAACTTAGTGTGTACTACAAATAAATGGACCTCCTAATATTTACTATTTTATACTTAAGAAAACTTTTTTCATTTTTACTCTAAGGCCATTATAACTTCTTAAAAGATAAACAAAGTAAGCCGGGTGTGGTGGCACACGCCTGTAATCCCAGCAGCTTGAGAGGTGGATCACGAGTTCAAAGCCAGCCTCAGCAATTGAGCGAGGTGCTAAGCAACTCAGTGACACCCTGTTTCTAATAAATACAAAATAGGACTGGGGATGTGGTTCAGTGCTCGAGTGCCCCTGAGTTCATTTCCTGGTACCAAAAAGAAGTAATTACGGACTACCCTTCCCCCTCTTCCTTTCCCAGCATACTGCCATTAATAAAATGAACTGTTATTTAAGAACCAATAAACAAATCCTGCCTCCTATGTTACCTGACCTCAGGCATCAAATAATGTGAATTCAGTTATTAGAAAGTAGATTTCATGGGGCTGGGGTTGTGGCTTAGTGGTAGAGCGCTCGCTTAACACATGCGAGGCCCTGGTTCGATCCTCAGCACCACATAAAAATAAACAAAATAAAGGTACTGTGTACAACTAAAAAATAATTTTTTAAAAAAAGTAGATTTCATTATTGGCTTCTGAAAATAAGATCAGCTAGTCCAAGCCCCTGAGTTCAATTCCTCCAGCAATGTACATTGTCCAGAATTCTGAGTATAGATATTCATTAGGTACTAGTATCTAAAATCAGGATATCAGTGATGTTTCATACCATATATAAAATTACCAGCATTTCCCATCTATGTCTACTGTTTTGTTAGTTTAATATGTTGGGCATGTTTACGTCATAGAAAAGGGATGAGTTTCCTATTCCAAATTCACAGGAGTGCACAAAAATAACATCATCATCACAAACACATCATCAAACACAAACACAAACACACACACACACACACACGGACGCATGTGCATCTGCTCATCCTGCTACATACCATTTCTTTATACAGGGAAAGAGTGTAAAATGGTACTACAGTTTACACTGACATCTCTATTTGTTTTTACTTAGATAAATGCAAGAGAAATAGAAATAAAAGGTAAAATCACCTATATTTCCATTACCCCAAAATCTTCACAATTACTGTTTGGTGTAAAGTATTTCCTTCCAATCTTTTCAATCTTTCTATACACACACACACACACACACACACACACACACAGAGTTTGGGGTCTTTTCTTCACATGATATTTCAAAAACATGATTTTCAATGGTAGCATTACAGTCCATGATTTCTATGAATGATGTGAGCACCAAACGTGGTTTTTACTTATTGTAGACACCCAGTAGAAATTTATCATTGTAAAACTATTAATCTCTTTGGAGACTTTGATTTGTTATAAATTTCCTTTTATTTTAAACAATGTTATGCCTATACGTGTATAAATTCTCTGAATTCTCTAATCATTTTCTGATTAGGAGGCAGAGCTCTACATATTTTAAGATTTCTGATCTATATTGTCAAAATGTATTCCACAAAGGGTGTGCCTTTTTAAGCCTTCATAATGCATAACATTCCAGAAAACAATGAATATCATTTTTAATATCTTTGTCAATTAAGCTAAAATTTTACCTTATAAAATTTATATTTATTTGTGAGGTGAATATTTTATATATTTACTGACATTCATGATCTTGCTTTTGTGGGGGTTTTGCCCATGTTCTATTAGAGAAGAGTATTTGTTTTTTTCTTATTGATATTTCAAGAAAATATATATATATGCATATATATATATTATACACATATATAAATTTTTTCTAATACAATTTTACATCAGATGATTTTTTCATGGTTTGTTGTTTCCTTTTATATTTTGTGTGTTTTATAAATATTTTAAATTTGTATATCTTTTATGATTCTTTTTTGGTTTTATACTTAGATCATTTTAATCCTAGTTTCCAAAAATTGTCATATTCTTTTTCTTATAGTTTTTTCCTACATTTATTTCTTCCACTAAAAACTTCTCTTGCTATAGAATATAAGTGTGAGTGTATGTATGTGTGTGCTGAGTATGCATATACTTTTTCTATAATCCCAACTCATTTCTAATAACTTATTTGTTTATTCTTGTATCAGTACAACACATTAGATATTTTTTAAAGTAAAAATTTAAAATGTTAATCATACACGACTCAGGAATTTAAATTTCAATGTATTATATGAATTCTAAACAATGACTACACTCAACAATGACAGAACTGAATGAACAAATCCATTAAGAATTTTATTTATAAAAATTGTTTTAGGAATAGTAAAATTGAAAAAAAAACTTTTCTAATCCTGCAGAAGAAACTACTACACTGAAACATAGTTATGTCTTCAAATAATCTTCATTAAATTATTTGTCTATAAATGATTTTCACCATACCACATGTGAATTACTATGAAGCACAAATAGCAAATATGCATTTCTCAAGCAAATCACTGCATAAAATATAGTAGCTATTATGAATGTGTGATTGATGGATACCCATGCCACTTCCAAATCTTCTTTAGCCAATAAGAATTGACCCTGGTTTTTGAATACCTAAAATTCTAGCAATAAAATGAAATAGAAATAGTGCTAGCTCAATTAATTTTTAAATGCCTATACATTAATTCTGTCATTTCTCTTTTCAAGGTCTAGCATGGCCTCATTAAAATTATGACATCAGCAATAACAAACATTACTTCTACAATTTGTTTACATCCATAGAAACTCACTTCAGAAGTCTACAAATGTGTCGCATTTCCCCATAGTTCCTTGACGAGCATTGAGTCATAATAGTTTCATCCATTTTGTCACCTAATAATTATTAATCTTCAATACAGTTTACTGAAGAGTTTCCCAATTTACTGGAGTGTTATTAGTCTTTTATTTATTATGATACAATTACAGAAGACCTAACATGTTGTGTACGCATATATATGTGAACAGATTATGGTTTCCTTCAGCCTTCACAAAAATCTTACAAAATAAGAACTAGTATATTGATTTTACTAATGAGATAAGCAAGGCTAAGAGGATGGGTAATTTCTCAAGACACACAGCCAATATGCAGCAGAGCCCTCATCTCTCTAGTGTCAAAACTCAAGCATGAGGGGCTGGAGATGTGGCTCAAGCGGTAGCGCGCTCGCCTGGCATGCGTGTGGCCCGGGTTCGATCCTCAGCACCATATACAAACAAAGATGTTGTGTCCGCGGAGAACTAAAAAATAAATATTAAAAAAAAAAAAAAACAACTCAAGCATGAGCTCAACTGCTATGTGATATAATTTTACACATCCTTGTTTGAGATTAGCCTCTGTAAAATAGTTGTTTCAGAAGTCCTGTTCTATTTGAACAACCTTTCAAGGGGTTTTCTTCCCAAGGGCACTGATAGTTTTGACAAAAACATATATCAAATAAACATTGTAACTACAGAGGAAGTACATTACAAAATAAAGAGAATACACTGAATTATTTACAGGAATCAGTTTAGACTTTTGGCAACTTGAACGGGGTTGTAAATTAGGTTCCTACGCCTAAATATTTTGCCCAAAATGCACATGAGATCTTAGTATAGTACAGTACTGTGTAACCTAATCATTATATATGATGCGATAATTTCCTGTGGGAGTACATATTCTCAGTTTCAATCAATAATAAAATGGAAGAATTAACAGGCCCCCATCCCACTCAGCCTTATCACCACCTCATTACTCTCTCCTCAACCACCACAATGGCTCATTTTGTCAGCAGTTAAGTAGGATCTTTCAGCAAGGCCAGACTAGAAGAGGATCAGCACTGGAATTTCCATGA